CTACTCAAGAACTTCCCACCATTTTATGGAGCCTGAAGGTTCATTACCATGTTCACAATAGCCCTCCACTGGTCCATATCCTGAGCTAGATCAATCTAATCCATACTATCCCATCCTATCTCTCTAAGATCCATTTTAATATTGTGTAGGTAGAGCCTCACGTAATTCAAATCTTGCTAGTCCGTGTATGGGCATATACAACTGTATTAAAGATAATTAGGTGTCAAAATTTTGTGGGAACTTGCCTTAGTAAACCGCTTCATTTACGAGTATCGATGCCCGTGTTACAGAAACAATCAGCCAGTTTTATTTACGTGGCAGACATACTGATGCGGTGACTCATTCACCTGAATCTGAGGATTGAACATCATCTGCAGGCCTGAGTGCTTCCTCTGGCACGTACCTGGCCACGGAAGTTGAAAAGTCCACCCAGAACACTACGAGCCGGACAAGAACTACAACACGCCTACAGGTACATATTGTAAATGAATTTTCCTTCTTCTGCGATCTTATATTAATTATTGCAGAAACGAAAGGAGAAATAAGGCAAAGATGTAAGGAAACAAATAAACAGAAAATGAAATAAAGAAAGAAAAAGAAGGCAAAGGGATATGCAAGGAAAGGATTAAATATATGCCACTCATTCACTCACTCGTAGAGCTGAGCCCTTCTCGAGGAGCCGCCAATTGTGCAGCTACTCAAGAACTTCCCAGCATTTTATGGGATCCGAAGGTTAACAAGAGCTCTCTACTGGCCCATATCCTCAGCCAGATCGATCCAGTCCATAACAACCCATTCTATCTCTCTAAGATCCATCTTAATATTATTCACCCACCTACGTCTTGGTCTTCCTAGTGGTCTCTTTCCTTCTGGCTTTCCCATCAATATGCTATATGCATTCCTCTTCTCCCCTATTCGTGCTACATGCCCTTCCCATCTCATCCTCCTTGACTTGATCATTCTAATTATGAAACATTAAATTATTATTAAGTATTCAATATATGTAGAAAGACAGAAAGGGAGAGTGAGAAAGCAAGGGATGACGAGGAGAGAGAGAGAAAAAAAAAGAAGGCAAAGAAACAGGCTAGGAAACGAATATATATATATATATATATATATATATAGAGAGAGAGAGAGAGAGAGAGAAGAGATAGTTGGAAAGCCAGGAACTGAGAAGGAATGAAGGAAGGAAAAAAAAGAAGAAGGCGCTAAAGAAATAGAGAAGGGAAAGAAGAAAGAGAAATGGAGTATAGAAACAGAGAAAGATCACCTAAAACCATTCGGCCGCTCCAGCTAAACAGATCCCAACAGGGTCAGCACAGGCACTTTGCTTGTAGCCACGTAACTTATCAATCTAACTGTACCAAAGTTTGAAACCAAGCGCTGTAGAAGAAGTCTGCAGAAAAATGCCGCTCGACACCTGTGGGAACCGCGATTGCTCGGCCACGTCACTGTTTCAGGCCTATTCCTGTCTTGTCCACCACGACGCTTTACTGTGGCCAGGGAAGTGAAGGGTTCGTACTCGAGTGAAGAACATGGTAATTCGATTAGTGTGAAGTCCCTTACAAGAGTAGGATGACCTGTCCCCGTCATGATTCATTTCCCTTGTGCAGCAAATACCCACGCATCCCCTCTCCACAGAGTACAATTTCCTCCGACGCCCCTGGTCACCACCAAGCAATGGCTAGGTAACAGTAAGGTTTCATTTTGCCAGGTTAAGTGTGTAGTTGGGGAGGGGTGCCACCGTGCTGGGACACTTTCTCCACCCACCCACTGAACTTCTCATCTGCTCTCAGCCAGCTAATTATAATTGTAGGCCCGTGTAGGCCCATGCGCCACGGTAAGCAGCAGGAAGAGGGAACACGCGCCGACAAGGGACACGTCATATCACAACGGTCAGAAAATTGGTTCACTTCTGATATTTGGGGGGGGGGATCTAGTGAAAATAGCCACAAGTGGTTTAGTAACTTTCTCGTGGTTTTACAATCTATGTGTTTGGAGTATTGCTCTGTTGCTGAAGGAAGCGACAAATTGTCTTGCTAAGAGGAACAATCTCAGTTCTGAACACATATAATTTACAACGTTTCTATAAGCAAGATAAAATTAAAAACAAAAAATAAGTAGATAAGCTAGCTTCAGGTAACTGAACAGATAAAATCAATTTCGGAGCACTATGAACTGAAATTAATTTTCTTTGACGTAGAAAAAATGTGTCTGTTGCACATGAATACTGGGGAAATTCAGACTTTTAGAAATAAGTAAGAAGTGCCTAGCCTATACTAAAAGTATTTTGTATATTTTTAGTAGAAATGATCTTATTTGTAAAAATGGCCATATTTTCTATGTCAGTGGTAAAACAGGAGACCATATTTATTTCTAAATTCAAGCGTTTCTGAGGTGAGATAAATACAAGCGTACTCATAAATGTTGATATAGTTCTGTCTGTTGCAGATATATGGTTTCTGCAACATTTTTATAGTTAAGGAGAAATTAGTTTGCTTGTTAAAATACATGGAAAAATAAGCCAATTCCAGATATCTAGAAGAGAACATTTGAGTTTGGAAAAACTTCGGGATTTGTAATAGCGGCTCTGAGGCTATCACAGCGGTGGTACATGTTTCTCCGAATAGTCCGTTTACTTTCAACGAACTACGCGGTCTTACATCCCAGAAAATAGATCTACAGAGCTATTAGTGGATAGATAATTCGGGTGATAATGCAGCTAATTGCCGCACAGGGATTTTAATCTTGGTCTCAATAAAAAGAAAAATTATCTCTGTGCTTAACTAATTAAGCACTATGCTATGAAGACATATGGGAGAGTGGATGTATAGATCCACGCGTTATTGACCTCAGCACTAGTTTGAGGGAAGTGGTCAGATTCACATTCCGGTCGCTTTAACCCTGGGGAAAGGGCCCTCGGCTGCCGTTGTCTAGGAGCCTGGGTTGGCCTCAGAGCCGGTTTCGGCGACGTGGAAAAATTCTTGACCCCTCCGTCATCAAGCCCGTAGCCAGTCGCTACACCAGCTTTTCTGAGTCCCAATAGTCGCCCGAATTCTACATAAGAAAAGGTGAAGCTATTCTTGTAACAGACAGTGGAGGTCCATAAGATTGTGAGACGTCGAGGCTCCCGTATTTTATAGACAATTGGATCACAGATGGCGACGAGATTGTCAGCCTTACGCGCCAACAGGCCACTCTTTACTCCCAGGTATATTCCTTGTACTCATTTCTGTTAGAGGCTTGGTCGACTCTGGTGCCATAGTGCGGCTGGAAGGATTAGGTCAACTGAAGAACCCAATGACATCGGGACCTTCCGACTTGTAGCGTAGTGTCTCAACTAACTACGCTACCGCGTACCCTCCAGGTTAACTTCAATTTCGCTCGGAATAACTGATGTTGCGACACTGAAAGCTGATGGACGAGAAGTCTAAAAACGAATTCTGAATTCCTGCTTGGTAGGAAACAGGCCTATATAAGAAATCAGAGAATTTATTTTTACTCGAGGTAAAAGTAAGGTGAAGTTGTCCCTGTTCTCAAAGAATTTAAGCACTACGCCATGAAGGCGTATGGGGGAGTGACTGTATAGATCCACATTTTCTTGACTTCGACACTAGTTGGAGGTGAGTGGTCAGCTTCACGCCCCGGTCCATTTACCCCCGGGTACCCATTGGATAGGAGGTTGGACCCCAGACCCGGTCTGGACGGTCTGTAGAAGAGAGAATTCTTGACCCTACCGGGACTCGAATTCCGATCCCTCAGTCGTCGAGCCAGTAGCCAGTCGTTATATCGACTGAGCTATCCCGGAGCTTATTTTCACTCAAGGTACGTTAATTTATTTCTTCACTGAGAAATGTATATCACAATCAAGCGTAAACGGGGGGGGGGGATGGACTGGTGAAATAACAATTACGCCCATTTTTCCTAACGGCGATTTTAACAGAACATCGGTATCGTTTCTAGGTCTTATTTTTTCTCCTTATGGCGTTTAATGGGGACGATGGAAACCCGCACTTGGTTTGACACTCCGTTAATATATTATACACCATCCTCCTATGTAATTCGTAATGTATTCGTAACTGATTTCATCATGTCCGACATTCGGAAGTAAGTTTCCTTTTTTTCATCAGAGACTTATACACATTCACGTTGCATATTGTGTCAATATGAAAACTGTTCGCTCGGGAACTTTCGTCATCGAAGAAGTTCCAGAATCCCCTGTTGGACCGAAAGAAAATTACCACTATGCAGTTATGTTGTGGTCTTTTAGATTAAAACACCCTGTAGTCTGATAAGTTGTCAACACTTCGAAGGATTTTACTAATTCCGCCTTCGGAGTATAAATAAAGATGGAGGTAATATGTCGGTCCGAAACGCTAATAAGCACCTACCAAAGTACACAGTGTCATAAGCCAGAAGATTACAACTCGAATGAGATTTTGGGGGTTCACTGAGGTGGCCGTGCGGTCTAAGGCATGAACTGTCTTCGCCCGCTCAAACACTGTGATCATGGGTTCGAATCCAACTAAATACACGGATGTATGTGTGTGTTTATTCTTTGTCCGTGTTGTTCTGTGTATAGGTAGCAGCCTTGCGACGGGTTGATCCCCCACACAAGGTGTCCTACCGTCTGTCTGTATGATTAAAAACTGAGAAGGCGGCCAATGTCCAACAAAGGGCTGTACAGCCATACATAGATAGAAAGTACTGGCTTCGATTACACAATATGAATTTTCATCACCTTGAGAACTCACTACCACTGTACACGTACTGCAACGCGTACCATTTCTGCTGCAATGAACAGGCGACGCTTAGGGTGAGCCTCCCCGCAGCTAGCCAATAGGCGCTACCTGCTCGGTTTGTGTTTATAGTCCACAGTTATGTCGGACAGTACGGAGCGGAGGCATAGCCAGCTGGTTGAGCGACTGAACCACCAAACACGGCTCAGTCGTGGCGGAAGTTAGGTCGTACCGTTGCGAGCTCCCTCTCTCGCTCTCTTTCTCTCCCTCTCTCTCTCCCACCACCGCTGCCGTTGCACACCACTGTGAAAACCTTGCCCAACGTCCACCAACAGTCGATACAACTCCAGTTGACCAGTTAACAATTACATCGCGTCTCACCATTGTTCTAGTTAACCGAGTGAATATCCTTGTGGTGCTTCAAACTCTGATTTTTGTCTCATTTTAAAAGCCCCCTACCTCTCGATCCAATATTGAGGGGGAAGAATTCTCATGTCCTGGAACTGATATCAATCCAACAAATTATTACACAAAAATACCAACGAGTTCTTCTGTGGTTACTGAAAAAGGATAAAAAAGAATTGTGTCGACGCTTCCAAAAAAAGTGTTGCCATGGAGATGGGAGAGGACTCCTGGGAACACCACGTGACCCCGCTCCTGATGAACTGTGGACAAGAGGACAATAATGTCGGAGGACATGAGGAATATCTTCAACACACTGAAGAGGTAAGCGCTGTTTCTCTCTGTAAACTCGTGAAGTAAGTGCGCATGGACCCTCCGTTCTTCATGTACATAAATTCAAGCGATTACGTGTAGTTATTTCGTTTGTATAACACAATATTGCAGAAAACTTTCCAATTTTCAACAAGGGACCGACGTGTTTCACTGTCACAGGCGTAATTTTATTGTAAGTACTGAGGCTATGTTTAATTGTTGTGTCACATTCGGAAGGAGATTTTTGGATTTTAACGCGGTCTCAATATTCCCGGTACTTCCGAACGTCGAACTGATAGGGTTCCATTTTTATCCTTACAGAGGCATTCAGTTCTGAAATGAGGAACTGTAGACCGGTTGAATGTCTAAATTTTTATTAATTTAAATTCACAAAAAAAACTTATTGTAGACGAAAGAAATACAGCAATTGAATGCCTGTTAAATATTTATAACAACTTTCAAACACGTAACCTTCCACGACATTTTGCTGTTTCTTAACTTTTCGTCCCTTCAAGCATTCGATTTACTCTCGTTCACATGAGGTCTAACTTTCTGTATTCATGATATTATTGGAATCTTGGAATGCAACAAACAAATTGTTCTGTTGTCCTACGTCTGTTTCTTCATGCCTCGTTCATATTATTTTCAGTTTCTGAATATTTACTACAAACATTACAATATTTTGACATAAATAAAAAATTATGAACTTCATATTCTGAGGGAATACATATATGTTTAAGATAATGCTTATATTCAATGCGAAATTGTGCTATAGAGCTGGGACGCAAGGAGTCATTATAGTACTGTAATTATTGATTATTAATCTTAATATTTTACTGCAATAATTGTTATTTGTTGGGCAATAATAGGCTCTACAGAACATAATAAATATTCACAAGAAAATATTATTTAGTATTTGGTAGAGTAATGGAGATTTCCTAGATAATCCTGCTCCGTATCTTGGTAAAGTAATGACTATTCTCCAGTGACTTTTTTTATTGCTAGTGGGTGGGACTAAGTCCCTTGTACTGCGGCCACTTCTGGCCTATTGTACCAGCCCCAGATGATAGGTGAGGGTGATTGTGGAGCAATTGGTGGAAAGAAGGTTGGCAAGGGAAACCGAAGTACTAGAAGAAAACCTGCCCCAGTGCCACTTTGTCCACCACAAATCCCACTTGACCAGACCCGGGAACGAACCCGGGCAGCCGCGATGGGAAGCCAGCCACTAACCGCTTGAGCTATGGCGCGGCCTCGTGCAATGTACTTACTACTATTCAGGCAATAATATGCATTTAAAAGAAAATCGTACGCAGCATCATGATGGTTATCCACAATAAAACGCTACTTAATATCCAATAGCAGTGATTGTTCTTTATTCAACCATTTCACTTAATCTCTTAGTTCAAAATTGGACAGTTGCAACACTAAATAATATAATAACTTTAAAAAGCGATGTACCATCACTAGAAAATCTTGCTTGTTTTCTTTTGCAGCAATGTACGATAATGTGCTATACAGCATATCCGACACGATGTCATGATAATGAAGCTGTAGGCGCTTATAAATTCGGATATTTGATATGAACAATATTTATTCTCATCAAAGATTTCTCCGTTCTTCATAAGCAGTTGCAAGAAGCCACCTGTCAGACTGGAGCCATATCTTTTCTTGAATATTTGTGAATTTTTCCGGATATATATGTATTAGTTGGTGGTTCTAAAGCTGCTACCATGGAAGCCGCGGTGGTGCAGTCGGTATAGCGACTGGCTACAGGCTGGACGACCAAAGAGTAGGAGTTCGAGTCCCGGTAATGGCAAGAACATTATATTCTTCGTGTTGTCCAGAAAGGTTCTGGGGCACACCCAGTCTCCTATCTGATGGGTATCGGGGGCTGTTTCCCCAGGGATAAAGCGGCAGGGGCGTGAAGGTGACCACTCTTCTTCAACAAGTGACAAGGCGAAGAAAACGTGGATCTATACATCCACTCCCCCATACGCCTTCATGGCGTAGTGCTTAATTAGTTATGCACAGGGATGATGTTACCTTTACCTTCTGATTTGCTACCATAAAAAGTAGGGGTTCCTAGTGTTACAATACATTTACCGTGGTTCAAGATTTTTACGCCAAAGTAAGTTCTAAGTCTTACTCAGTAGAGATCAATGTTTATAGAAATTACGGCGCGAAATACAGTTTCCACGAAAAACGCAAATGGTGCTATGCGCGAGTTTTCTCGTGCGAAATTTCTGATACTTTAATCCGAATATATTTTGTGCCTGAAATAAGCGAAAAAAACTGACCTTCTCTCGACAGTGACATTTACAAAATACGTACATTACCGTAAAAGGAAACGGCTCAAATAGAAACCAGTCAATTTCATCAAGAAATTATTTGCCAGTGAGCAGCTACTGCCCTCTGCTTAGTCTTCAGCGCCATTGTTTATGTTCTGGCTCCAGTTTCTTGTAGTGCGTCTATCATCTCTTTAGCGGTATTACTAAACATTTCAGTATATATTTTGCACAGCTTGAATGTTGTCGAAGTTCTTTTTGCTACTTTCAACCGATCACCAATTCTCCTTTTGTCACCATCCATCTGTTCACAGCGAAATTCAGCACACATATCTCCCTTCGCCCATAGCAGGTCTGCATTGTTGCTGCGCTGACTGACACGTTTTGGAAGGGACGCTTTCTCTGAAACGTGATGTTCTCTGGCAGGAACAATGCAACCGGCAGCACAATGGATCACAGCGACACACGCATGACCATTTGACTGCTACTGTATAATATTATTATATCGAGATTGACGCATTCAGCATTCAATAAACTGATACATTAATTTTCAAGCAGTTAATCTCACTGGCAGTATGAAATTAACGTGGTCTCCGGTTCACTGGACTATGTGATCGCAGGTTCGAATCTGTTCAAGAAAATGTACATATGTTTGTGTATCTTTTTCATCATTGAGAGTTGGCTTACCCGTCTACAGAATTATTCAGTTTGTAAGATTTCTTATGGACGAAACTTCCGTGCAGGTAACTGCCTGAGTAGTCAGGAAAACGATTTATAGGGCTGACTGAATGGAGAAGAATAGAACCTGAACTTCCCTTCTTATCGCGAAGAACTCAGCGACACTCCATCTTCTTTAGAAGCTGAAACTAATTTAGATATTCAAGAAATTCCATATTTTTAGGGAGTCCGAACGATTCTTCTTGCTCCACAAAACTCGTTTCTGTGGTCCATCCTGAGACTTACGTCTCCATATCTCATTTCCCTTATGTGAACATCCTAAAACATTCAGAAAAATAAGGCCTGCTTGCAATTTCTAAAACACTTCATCGATTAACATTATCAGTCCTCCTCTTGCCTCAACCGAGTCTCCTAGAATAGATACAGATGGGTTTTCTTCGGGGGTTAAAACGACAGGAGCGTAAAGCTGACAAATCGTCTCCATCTAGTGCCGAGATTAGATTAAGAATACTACAACTATATCTCCACTCCCCCATATATCTTCAAGACGTGGTGGATAATTACTTAATTAAGTAGGCCTACAGGGATAACTTGACCTGTGACTCTCCTGCCCTTGTATCTAAATAGCCTTTGCATCTCTGCTTCTAATCACTGTCCAACTGTGTGTTCTTCTTTGTGCGACAGGCCGCGTCTCAGTCTCGTATAAAAATGTAAGATCAATGAAAGAGTCTGGTTAGGAGATGAGAGACCAGAAATAATATGGGCCTATTAAAAACAGTAAAGCTAACCCTGTAACAGGCCATGAAGGCCCATAGGGCTGTGAGCTGTCTAAGCTCCCGCATTTTCTCTGGACAATCGGCTCACAGATGGCGGTAAGGTTATCAGCATCACGCGCTGGCCGTCTTTTACCCCCAGGGAAATTCCTGGTATTCATTTCTGTTACAGGCTGAGTTGACCCCAGGGCCATTATGCGGCTGGAAGGATTAGGTCAATTGAAAAAAAAAATCCACTTCATTGAGATTTGATCCCGCGACATTCCGGCTTGTAGCATAGTGTCTCAACCAACTACGCTACATATTGGCTTATATCATGTTTTACCCTGAATTCTGAAGCAGTTGTATTTCGGCTTCCTTAGTCTGGCTTTTACGCCTAAAGTTACATTTTGTGGGAAAATGCTCTTGGCTTGCCCAGCCGAGTTGATTATGTAGAACTGAATACGTTGATTCTAGTAAATGAATTACAAAGGGTTTGGAAACAAGAGGTCGTTGCCTACTTTAAGGCGCTGTCTCACGTGTCACTTGGAGAAGACTGAGGAGAATCTCGAAAATTACTTATCAAGATTCCTGGTCGAGATCCGAACCACTGAGTTTTCGAATACGAATTTGGGCACTGGACCGTAAATTTCGGTTAACGTAATGTTCCTGTTTGCTGCAAGAGAGCCCGATGATTTAAGACAGGATATGATTACGTTAGGAAATTGCAAGAAAATAAGAACATTTATCCCTGCTTATTGAAACAGCAGGGTACGGCTAATAGCACATAATGGCTGTGATCAGTCAGAATCAAGCAAATTGCAGCTTCTGAGCACTTTCCGAGAACATACAGGTCTGCCATTGCCAGTGAACGTGTGCTGAGCTATGCACGTGGAACTGTTACCCAGAATCACGTGCCCTGTTGATATCTGAGAACACAGAGAGAAGAAATGTACCTAGTTGATGATTATTATTATTTTAAGGGGTGTGACTCCGTATTGTTCGGTAGATGAGTACTGAGGTTTTCGAGGAATTTTCCGTCTCCATTTCCAAGCTCCTGAACTTTTGGATTTATCTACCAGACTACACGGCGTCATATCCCTGAAGACGGTAATCGTCATAGACACCACCGTGAGAACCCAAAATGCCTTATTGATACCTGACGAATGTATGGTTTTCCTTCAAGATGGAGAAAGTAATTATCTTCCAAGAATTTGTGCATGTTTACTGAACTACACGTCGTCACACCAAGAAGATAGTAGTTGGTACTCGCCGTAAGAATCTCTATGCCCTACTG